AGTAGGAATAGTTGGTGATTTCAATTTAGGCCAGTAAAGCAGTGGTCTCTAACTCTAATCCTGTAGGGTCAACATCATGGAACCTTTAGCCCAGGGGTAACCAGCCGTTTTAAGACTGAGGGCTACTTTATGGGTACTTATTCATAGGACGGGCTACCAATATGACCTATGACCTGCAGGAGTCAGGATTCACCTAAACTTCATAAATTATAAACATATTTGTATTCGTTATTTCCATCTCTAATTTGCTTTTAGATATTGTCATTTGCCTATAAATGCTTAAATGTTCTAAATGATTGATATGATTGAATGCTCTGTAAATGATAAAAAATAAGAGCACAGAATAAAATTTAATTTCCAACTTAGTCAACTGAGGTGTAATTCTGTTGTCAGAAGAACCTGAGTGCAACCTTGGTCCTTGAGGGCCCCTTGGTGCCCGTGGACACTACGTTGGTGCCCCCTGCTTTAGACGCTTCTCTTGCCCTACATGCCTGAATCAAACTACTTCACTAGCTCTGCTGATGAGCTCACTTTGGAGATGCACTAATACAGATATGCATCTAAAAGTTGCAGGATACCGCTCAACACACCTCCATTTAATATGGAGTCAGTTTCTCCAGAGTTCTCTTAACCATCAATTACTTTATACTGGTGTTGCACCAACTATGCCCTCAGGGACTGGAATCACCCACCCCTACATTAATATTTCTAGTCAACCCTTTCAGACTCTACTGAATGTTTTTTATCAACCCTCGACTACCAGTCTTCACAGGTTTTTTTTATGTTATGGTTAGAATATTTCTTTCTAATCAATCTCATACAAACACTTACAGACTGACATTTAGAAAACCATTAGCTTGTTCAGGTTTGGATGGTTTTAAAGGAGAAGTTCGGTTTTTTACACTTTAAGCCCATTTTCTGTAGTGTCCAGGATGAAATCGAATGATCGACACCAAAAGTTTGACAATTGCTCCTGTCTCTGCTTTTTGGCTCATTTAGAATCACCCCTGGCTGCTTTAGAATGGCTTGCATAGAGCATGTCCGATAATGTCCTTAAAACAACCTTAAACGTTCTTTTTTTAAAATATGCTACTCACCGTGTCGTCAGCGCTGTTCAATGACGTTCCAAAAAAAGTTTCGTGAAGAAAAAACGTTCCTGTAGTGTTTTATTTAGCATTTTGTAAATCCCATTGAGTTCTGTTGGAATAGTCAATATTCCGCTGCCACCGGAAACGGAAATGGAGCCTGTTTACACAGTTGTAGTCTTTTCGCTTCACTCTGTGTACTCCGACGTCGAGAATCAAGAATCCACCTTTCGTATTCCATTTTCAGAGTTTTTTAAAGTGTTTAACAGAGACGTTAGCACCTCGACGTCGGAGTACACAGAGTGAAGCGAAAAGACTACAACTGTGTAAACAGGCCCCATTTCCGTTTCCGGTGGCAGCGGAATATTGACTATTCCTACAGAACTCAATGGGATTTACAAAATGCTAAATAAAACACTACAGGAACGTTTTTTCTTTACGAAACTTTTTTTGGAACGTCATTGAACAGCGCTGACGACCCGGTGAGTAGCATATTTTAAAAAAAGAACGTTTAAGGTTGTTTTAAGGACATTATCGGACATGCTCTATGCTAGCCATTCTAAAGCAGCCAGGGGGTGATTCTAAATGAGCCAAAAAGCAGAGACAGGAGCAATTGTCAAACTTTTGGTGTCGATCATTCGATTTCATCCTGGACACTACAGAAAATGGGCTAAAAGTGTAAAAAACCGAACTTCTCCTTTAACTTCAAATATTTGTACAAAGATGAGGCTCATTCTATATCCTGAAGTTGTATAGATGTTGAGTTTCTTCTGATTCTTTTTTTTTTCTGACTCAGGCTTAAGGGCGGGATATCCTCCCCGCAGTAGTGTGTTGCAGTGAGCTTGTTGCAGATATTTTTGATTTATTCACAATTTTTAAGCGTGGTCTGTGCTATGTTGTTCCACGCCACAACGCAAGAGGAACAATCAGGAACTAGCTGTGGGTCTAGATACGGCCGAGGCGGGGAGGAAGTAGCGGCAAGTTTGCGCGAAAATGGAGGGATATGAGAGCAAAAAAGAGTGGGGATCCAGGTGGAAAAAGGGTCTTGGTGTTCCATGCACCTCGCTCTTCTAGCCGGTCCAACTTAACGAGTGGTTTTCCACAATGGCGGTCATACAAACAAACCAATCCAGGAAGTTATCAAACAGGAAATAGGCATAGTGCAGAGCAGATGTAGATTTGACCAATCAGAGACCTCCTGTCTGCGATCACCTACAATTTTGAATATGTCCACTACAGTGTCTACGGAAGGGGCGGAGGCACATTTGCGTTCCCTGCGACGCAAACGCAGACGACCTGGTTTCTGAGTATAAATCAGCCTTTAGAGTCACAGTGATTTTATGCAAAATCTGACCCATCAAATTCACCAGAAATGTACTTTGTTTTTCTTGCTGCTATAATGGGGCCTTAAATTATTATTAGAGATCATTAGGGTATATTTAGCTTTTATTTTTGATCTGATTGATGGTATTTCCTGCTCTCCTTTATGTATGAAAAGCTTATGACTCCGAAGCAGGAATGAGCTTTAAACAACTTATAGTAAGTTCAAAAGAGACAGCTACATCTCATTAGTCATATCAGTGTGTGTATATTTTTCCTGTTAGCTATGAGACGTTTGAGGCTTTTTTTTCTTTTAATTTCTGCATTTCCTGTGTGGGATATCATTCATCTGCTTTTATGGGTTCTGTATAATATTTTCTACATCACGGTGAGAACTTTTGACATTATCAGACTCTGCTTCTATATCAGATCTCACCACCAGGGACAGCTGAAGCTCTGAATTGGCAAACATTGGATGAGTTTTTCATTTTCTTCCCTATTTAAGTAGAGCCAGCTGAGCCTGGTGGGAGTCACTGAGCAACGGCACGAATCTCATCTTTAATCTAATAAAGGGGCTCTGCGGAGGCTGGAATTAATCAGATCTGTTAAGGAGAGGAGCTTTGAACGGAAGAGTGATGGAGAGGAAAAGTGTGGAAGCATTTTGGGTGGAGAGAGAATATGATTGGACATAATGAACGATCTTAGTGTTGAAAGACGGGGGGCTTTAAATCACCTTTACTCTCCTTCAGGCTGTGTGTGCAGTCCTGATCCATTTGAGCTACGATGGGACCACCGGATCTTCCTCTGTCAGTCTGAAGATATCAGACCAGAGTGGTTTTATTCACCGCCGTAGTTTCAGTAGGAAGACAGAAGTGAATTTATGAGCAAAAATATGGCAGCTAATCTTTTTTAAGGAATTTCTGTTGAAACCTTCTTTCCAAATATTAGTTTGCTTTAACCTTTCCAGGAATAAATAAGAATAAATGTTGTTTTCAATCAATATTAACCAGTTTTTTCCATGTTTTATTTCACAAATTATTTTTCTTTCTTTGCACATTTTTGTGCAACATTTCAAATCACCTCAGAGGCTTATTTCGAAAAATGTTGATTCTAAATTCTTTAAAAATTACACTCAAGGTTGTGCAGATGGCGCAGTGGTAAGCGAGCACGACCCATGTCCTCAACGCGGCCGACCCGGGTTTGAATCCGACCTGTGGTCCTTTGTCGCATGTCCCTCCCCCTCTCTCATACCCCTTTTCTTGTCAGACTACTGACAGAAAAACGAGTCACTAGTACAGTAAAAACTCGGGGGGGAAATTACACGCTCAAATGTTGGAGCTCGGATTGAGTCTTATCCTCCATTTTCCATCCATCTTCAACCTTTTTTTTCCTCACTCTTTCTTCCAGATAATCTTCCCGTCTGTCCATCATTTCATTTATAATCTATACAAGAATATAAATTAATTGAGGGGTTTTGGTTATGTACTGTTAAAAATGGCTAAAACGACTGTAAACGGGTATTAAAGTATTCCAGGCCCAGGCTGGACTTCCGGCTTGTAGCGATTGCCCGTGGGTTAAAGAAATCCCTTGAAAATAAATTGACGTTAAATAAATTAAAAAAAAAAAAACAATCGAAATCCCTCTTGCATTTGTCAGCCAATTGTAGCAAAGGAATTTATCTGAAACTGACAGTATTAGCCAACCAGAAAAAGAAGGGTCGCCCCCTTCTTGTTCTGGTTGGCTAATACTGTCAGTCTTGGAGAAACCGTGTTCTTCCTCCTCTTGTTTCTTGCTCAAGTAGCCAAATAGATAGTGGTACAGTGCTGAAGTTCTACACTGAAAGTCGCCTTGCGCTGTTTATGGCTCCATACAATGGAGAGACGTCTACAAAAAAAATAAAAAAATGAAACTTGTTTGGAGTGAAGGATGATAGAGAACTGAATTGCATGGAGTGGGAACAATGCCGTTCATAAACTCCGGGGAGGATGTCACGACCATAGATAAAGGTCTCAAAAATAATGGCGCTGAGCATGGCTGGGGGAGACCAGGCGAGATGGCAGGCCATTAGCAACTGGTGCAGGAAGTTAGGTGAACCAGGCGCTTGCTTCTGCACGCTGTGCTCCAGGAATTTTATTAACACATCCAGCGGCGAAAAGGTGCTACGCCAACATGAATTAGACCCTGGTCATCAAGCTGCTGTTTGTGTCTTACATATAGATGCACTTTTGCCATCTTATGGCCATTTTTGGTATTGGATTTTCAAGTCAAATTTAGTCTTCCATCAATCATGCAATCTCTGATCCCATACCCCCGCACCCTCCTGGCATGGCTTGAAAATGCACACACACATGCACATAATATAGAGTTTCTTGCCTGTGTCGAAAAAGTTCAGGCTCAGGATCGTTTTTTGGTTTAATCCCTGTTTAAAGTTGAGGATATAAAGCAGAGAAATGTGACCATTAAATGATTTTGGAAACCATGTAGATTTATTTACCTACAAGCCTGGTTGATTGTTTTTTCAACACATTTTATGATTGTTTAAAGTCCTAAGTTAGTGAAATCCATCCTCATCTCCTCTTCTCTGCCTCTCTCCAGCTGATAGCCATCTATGAGGAGCAGGAGCCCCATCATGGAGGTGACGGCACCAGCGCCAGCTCCACGGGGACGCAGAGTCCAGACCTGTTTGCCGCCGACCTCGGTGCCGGCAGCGGGACCTCCTCAGCTTTTCAGCCCTATCAGAACGCCAGCGAGATCGAAGTGACGCCTTCAGCCCTGCGCACCAGTAAGTCCCGTCACCAGAGGAGGAAAGACTGCTGGGAACAGAGGAGTGTGAGGCTACGATTAGCCATTACTTTTGGAATGATCATTTCTTTTCACCATATATTTTCTGTGTTGTCCTTATCGAGTTAAATGTCAAAAGCTACAGCTGTATCCGGCAAACCTAACAAATCACCTTCTAACCCCACACTGGAGCATTGTTCATAAATTCAAGTAATTGGACAGGCGGAGCCTTTTTTTGCAGGCGTAGTTAGCAGTTTGATCCCTGGCCAAAGTGGCTAATTCAATCCGAAGCCTCCTAAATCACATTTGTCACTGAGCGCGCTCACCTCCGTGGGCTTTCCAGCCAGGTCGCTGCTTTGGCTCTAATTACTGCGAGTGCCGACACAAAGCAGCCTTTTTTAGCTGACTCTTCTGTTTGGATCAAGGAAACGATTTTAAGGAGAAACATGAAGGCTCAAAAAGTCACATCCCTTTTTAAATCCCAGCAGTTAGCCTTACTGAGCAGCAGAGATTTCTTAATATTATAGATTTTTCTTTGTTATCCCACCTGGAAATCCTACATCTACCAGTTGTTGTTTTCTCTAGGCTGGGGGCTGTAGTATTTGAGGGACCTGAGAAGCATTGGAGTTTTTATTTTTGTTTTGTGTCCTTCAGTTCAGCAACATTTTAGAAGTAGATATATAATTATAGTACAATAGCTGCACATTTTAATTAGAATATCAATCATCTTCCAGGCTCCTCATCAATGCAATGGCATATCTACTAGAAGGGTCATTGTAAATTTTTTGGCTGTCTAGCAAACTCCAAGAAATCTCTGTATAAATATATGATCTAAAGGTCAGGATCTCTAACAGTGTTCTCAGAGCCTTTCTATCAGACCACAGCCCTCAGCATCACTTGTTCTCCGCCGTGCTTTTCCACAGATTTTATCTTTCATTTAATGAGTCATGTTTGCTAAACAGCTGAATCTTTTCCAAAGAACAGACTTGGCTTTTCCTTGTTTTATTATTACCAACCAACTAGTTGAGATAACGCTACCATCAATAGTTTGGTAGTGGGCCAAAGGAACTATTTACTTTGTGCTTAACAGACACACAAACTTGAGTCCTCATCTCCTTTTTCTCAGTTCTAGTTGTGTTTAACTTTAAAGTTAAGCAATGTATAGGAAATTCTGCTTAATTCTTCCAAGCACATTATTTATGTCATTAAAATATTATTTAAATCTGTAAATAGCCTCCCAACCATTTAGAACTGAATTGTAGAGTGTTGATTAAACTTGGGTTTAAAGATCCTGTGTTTCTGTGGTTGTATCTGGAAGGGTGGCTGCCTTCACTGTAATAAATATGGTTTAAACCATCAAATTCTCAAACTTTAAGAGCAACCCAGAACGTAGAAAGGAGGGAAATGGAACGATGGGGGGAAGAGGAGGAGATGCTAGAGGTAAGCCCTTTGGAGCTGCATAGCTGTATTAGCTTGGTACTGACCAGGTATTAACCAGGAGAAGTGGGTTTTTGTTATGCAGGCTGAAAAGAATCAGGTGGAGCATCGCAGTGGTCTGTCTGATTTGGAGTGTGGCTCATATGAGTAGGGCTTGAATAGTTGAATCAGGCTGAACATTGTCTCTTCCTTACACAGGACCAGGAGGCAGTAATGCTCCTACATGTGGGCGTGGTTTGCATGTCTCCACTGGACACGCCCTCAGTGTTTTAACATTTTTCGAGACCTAATTGCTAATGCTTAGGTGCTTTTAAGATACAAATTTGGCTGGGTGATTAACACACAGCTGTGACATTTCTGTGACAGTATGTCACTCTATACGCCCATATATATATATATATATATATATATATATATATATATATATCTGTGAGGCAGGTCACTGCAGTTCTCTTTGCATTGCAGATGAGATGCTGAATGTGAGTTTTTTTTCAAAAAGAAAAGGAAATCTTTGGTTTAATTTCACCTGCCTGTTACATCCAATTTAGCCTCCTTGGTAATAAATTCCAACCCTGCCTAATTGACTACACAGAGTCTCCTCAGCTGAATTTTAATATGTGTTAAGCAAAATGTCTGACATGGAAGAGAGGGAATTTGATTAATTTTCTTTTCGCACGCGTTCCTAATGAGAACGGCTCAAAGTGACTGATTTATGCTGCAGGAGATGCTGTCACTGGACTTTGTGCTTTGTAGCCAGTTTTGCCTGTTTGGCCCAAATTTTCTGACAGCGCAGGAGACAGTCTCTGCAAATTGCAGTTTAAGGACAGTACCTCACTCTAACTTATGAACACTAATAAAGGAACATAAAAGTTTTAGTTTTACAGTATTTCACTGCTTTGAGATCCCTTTAATACACTTTATTGAGATGTGAAGGAAATGCTGCAAAGGTTGTAGGTTGTAGTTCTGATGGTTTTATGTCCCATTTTTAATTTTAGCAACAAAAGGTGTTTTTCTCTCCTTCAAAACCAATAAAATATCTTTCCTACATTGAAGAATAAATGGACTAAATTTATAGAGCACTTATCTACTCAAAAACGACCACTGAAAGTACTTTACTTTCACTCAGTCTCACTTGCTACTGTATGCAGATTCACAGCCGTACACAGGCAACCTGGGCTTAAGTACCTTGCCAAGGGGCACATCAGCATGTTTGGGTTAAACCTTCCGACTACAAGATGACTGCTCCACCCACACAGATATTGCTTTAATACACATTTGCGGTGAGGCTATGGTTTAGTTTACATACATCCTCTATGTGACCCGGCAGTGTCCAAAGACTATTTATGGGTAATTAAGTCTTATTCCCATTAGTGTACAAGTTATTGTTAACAAGCCAGGTCTTTGGGGTTTCATAAGCAAGAGTCAAAAAATAAAACCAGGATATTTTGTTTTACATTTAATTTGACGTACATCCTCTGAATTCCAACCCCAAAAAAGAAAAACTTTATAAATGGAAGTTATAAATAAAACCAAAAGGGTGCAATAACCTGGTATGCAGAATCCTAAAATGAGTATTTGTTGAATCACCTTTAGGTTCATTAATAAATTTCAGCCCTTTTTGGGTAAAGTGTGTCATCAGTCAACACCTTGGTCATACTTTGCCCACTTTCCACTGGAAAAATTCTCCACATCTTTACTTAGGGACACCAACTCGGGTGATTTCTGGGCTTCATATCAATCCAGACCTCTATTTACACTACCCTCTGAAACCGATCCGTGCCGAGTTTGAATCAGTTAACCGTGCCGAGCTTGGTTCCTTAGGACCATTTACACAGCACGCACCGTTCCTCGCCTCCTAGTGACGATCTATGGTACTCCTGCCCTCTAGAGGTAAACAAGAAAATCAACATGGCGGAAGTTTGTAGATAGTCAGGCGTAGAAGGCAGCCTTTGGTGAATTTCCTTGGCATCGGCTTTTGGGAAGTGGAAACGACAAACAGTCTAATCAGGGCTTACAGACACAGGAAACAATGACAGACGTTGAGGTTCATGGCACTGCTAAGCAGAATCATCCCTGGAAATCGTCTTTCAGGGTAGGGAAGCTTGTATTTTTATGAATGTCTGAAATTTCATGATTATGGAGGCTGACTGTAAGGTGATGACGCGGTCTGCTCATGCGCTCTTTGTTATCTGAGAACTGAGCCAGAACTGAACCACGCCAAGCCATGCTGTTGTAGTACCATGTTAGTGCGGTACGGTTGTATCTGGCGCAGTCCGGTTCAGTTGTGTGTGCCATTTACACTCAACAGTTATCTCGCTGGCTGTTGTATTTGAAAGGAAAATCATTTCCACTTTCATTTTCACTCCATGTTATTTTGAGTCAAAGATATTTTTGTCACTGAATTAATTTTGTTCCCACGTTGAACAAAGTCAGTCTAGTTTTATTAAAATCTGTGTTTTTTCCTGTTATTGAGGGCTCTGCCATGATATTAACTGCTGCAGAGTTATGTTTGTACCCTTCTCCTTATTTCTCTGTTCAGAAAGAGTCGTATGATGCTTTGTAACGTCAGTAAATCCTGGCTTTGGCTAAATTATGCAAATTGGTGAATGTCAGGAAAACCCCGACCTTGGTTCAGTTATTCAGAGCTATTAAATCTGACAGGTGGTGAAAGCTGAAATTAAAATGCAGAATGTATTAAAGGGTGTGGCTTTGGCAGATTCAACTTAATACAGCTGCTTAAAATAAACATTGAACCGTTTATTTGGTCCTGAATCATTTATTTATTTAAGTGGAATTTTTGACCAGATGTTACTTCTGCTGCATGAAGGCAGTCTGACCCCACTGCCTTCCTCTGCTTCGAGTGGGTCTGCTCTCACGCTCTGAGTGACCCAGCAACAGCGCTCTGACACAAAAACACACACAATCCCACAATAACGAGTTATTTCCAGCCATATTAGGGCCTTTTGTTGACTTCCATTTATTCCAGGGACTATATTTATGCCCAACCGTAACACTTAACCCAACCCCCGACCATTCCTGAGCCTGTCGTTGACCAAACTTACTCCCTACTGTAACTCTATCCGTAAAACGACCAGACTTTGACCTTTATAAGGAAACATTTTAGAAACATAGTAAATTTACCAGAACATGCTGTTATTAGTCAATATAAACACACAGATGTGCTGAATAAAGCTGCTCTCTTAAAGATGTCCAAACAAATGTCTCCAGATATTTGTGGATAAACTAGAAGTGGACAGTTGTGTAAACCCTCGCACAGACATGGTATTCTACCCGCACACATCGATGCAAACACACAACAAAAGCACAAAGTGTTGCAACGCAGGAACAGAGAGATGCTCAGACTCATCAGTTTATCAGAGTACAAGGAAATAAACAGCCAGGAGCACAAATTCACAGATGGACTTGGTCAAAGCTGAATAACCGCTGACCCAGTAGATGCATCAGTGTTTCCTGTGCGAGCAGATTTCCAGTTAAACTTGGGAACTGGACATCTTGGCTACCGAAAGAAAACACTTTTATTCAAAATATTTTTGGTTTTTATAATCCGTGTCTTTGCTGTTCATGGGGTTGCTAACGTCTGAAGAGCAGCAGATTTTCGCTGTCGTAACACAGCGTTCTGTGTGCTGTCCATGTGGGGATAATTACTTGGACCTTGGCCCGCAGCCCACACTAAACAACTTTGAAACGCAGTGAAGAGATTTAATGGAAGCCCATCGCTGACGCCGGGTGCTGTTCCCACACATTCTGCTGCTCTGCTATGAGATAGACTGTTAAAAAAACAAATAAGAGGAATTTACCAAAGCATAAAGATGATGGGATTCCTATCCTAATTATATAAATTAGAAATCCAAAAACACCCACCAGTCTTAATCAGGCACAGCAATGATAGATTATTGAGCTAAATTCAGTCTGAGTGTCAGTGTTATTTTCCAGATCTGGATATGATCTGAATTTCCGAACTTGTTGCATATCCACATTTTAAATAAGTTCCTCTATATTTAACACAGCTAATAGTACTGAACAATTTTGACAAAAATCAAAATAGTGATTATTTTCATCCAATATTGTCATTTTATTTTGATTCTGTGCACGTTTTACCTCAGGGTTTCAGTGTTTTCTGTCCCTTCAAAGCTTGCTTGTCAGGAGTCCATTGTTTCATAACTTTGCTGTAAGCTTTGTTTGGAAACAGGCTTGCTTCTGCATGCATGTAAAGAACTGCGTGCTAACTGGAAGCATCTTTACTTTTTTCATGGAAGCCGACCCACTATAGACATATTACCATCACTTATCAGGCTGGAGTTCGAAAAAAAAATGTGTCTCTTAGTCTTAAGTGCTTCAGTGAGTTGAAAATTTCATTTTCTTAAATTATGATTATATTGCAAATGCAATGTATTGCCTAGACCTTTGTGACTTTTGCTCCATCCATCCATCCATCCATCCATCCATCCATCCATCCATCCATCCATCCATCCATCCATCCATCCATCCATCCATCCATCCATCCATCCATCCATCCATCCATCCATCCATCCATCCATCCATCTCACATCTTCACATTAAATGATTGAATATAATATCATTGAATAATAATAATTGAACTTTATTAATCTTACACTGAAGAAATTCACTCTGCATTTAAGCCTTCCCCTTTAGAAGCAGTGGGCTGCCCAGAGTGCAGGCTGTGGGGATCGAACTGGGTACTTGGAACCTCCTCAAAGCACAATTGCACTGCTCTAACCACTAGGCCAACACTCCCCCTCCAATTACATCCCAATTTGGATGTATCAATTTCTTTCATGGCTGCATAAAGTCTAGTTGGGGAAAAATCTGACTTGCCTGCACACAGAGTTCTGACCTTTATCCCCTTTAAGTTTAATTTTTAGACTTATAAATGGATAGGAAAAAAATGAAGACTAAGCAAAGAATTAAGACAAGTAGGCGAAGTTGATGCAGGTCCCTGTATGATGTCTCAGGAAATGAGGTATCAAATACAGGTTTAACAGCTTGTTTATGTGCCGTTTCTCAGATATGCCTCTCCACGTCCGGCGCAGCAGCGACCCTGCCCTGATCACCATCAACGGGCCGTTCAGCGCCTTGGAATCACGAGTCCAAGCTGAAGAGACTCCATCCAGAAAGAACCCGACTCGCTGGTCCACCACTGCAGGCTTCCTGAAGGCTCGCCATTACTCAGGCACAAGCAGCCTGGAGAGGAAGGTGGGCAAAAAAAAAGAGGCATTTTAACTTCTCTAGTTAAAGCTTCTGTAATTAATGAAACTATAAGAATTCTAAACAAATGTTTTGCTTTGGATAAAGTACCTTATTATAAAACACAGCTTTTGCCTTTGAAATAAAAACCTTATTTCTGTGCAGAGCAAAGGTTTAGACACGTACCGCAGCTTGCCGCGGGATGCTGGGACCTGGTCGAATCAGCGTGAGTTTCAGAGAGACACGGCCAGGTCATCGCTCAGTGCCAATCACCCCATGGTGGACCGCTGGCTGGAAAAACAAGAGCAGGTATGTGTGACTTAACACAGTCAGACACACACAAAGAAAAACTAGAAAAGAAATAACCCTAATCCCTGTTCTCGGATCCTCTCATTTTATGGAGAATGAGTAAATTCTCTGAATCCTATAGTACCTTTTTACTAAAATCAGTGTCGACAAAATCCATGGTGTCCCGGCTATTATTACATGACACGTTCAGCTAATGCCAAATAACGATGTACACATCTACTGATTCAGTAGGATTTAAAATGGACCGTTGATGACAGAATATGTTGGATAACTGGTCATGATCATCATTAAAGAAGTTTTTATAGTTCCCTGCTCTGGAACTTACAGCAATTTCAGAATTTACCGCCTGAAAATCTGGAAAAAGGTTATAAAACTGTTCCAAAGAAAAACAATATAATTCTGTAGAGAGGAAATTTAAGTGGAGATGTTTTGTTGCAATACGGAGAGACAAATTTCATATCGGCTGTGAAGGCCTCATCAACACAGCGGCCTGCATGTGTTGATGTGAAGTTTTATATGGATTGTTTCTAATGAGCTCAGAGATACTTAGTTCTGTTTAAAATGACTTCAGTAGAGAAAGTTATTTAGTGATTACGTTGCAGTCTGCCCACACAGTCATAAACAAACCACTGCTTCAGGTTTTCACACATTTTGTTTTTTTGTTGCGCCAACACCTCTGCTGTGTCATTTATGAATTATGAATTACTTTCATAAAGAAGGTAAGTCTTTGAAATAGCTTAGAGATTCATTTTGGCATGCCTGCTGATGTATCCATTGAGGCATTTTGTGAAGCTGCTGTTTTTCTTGCTGCCTAAGATGATATTTCCCGCAGCGGGTTTAGCTCCACAACAAGTTTCCTGCATCTCTCTGAAGCGTTCTTCTCATGAGTTCGTCATCATGTTTCACTGTTATGGGGGTTAAATGGTGCGGCGCACTGCAGGATTGTGTCGTTAGGATTAATAGTCATCTGAAGTCTGTCTTACTTCCTCCTCCAAAGCATCCACATTTTGACCGGCTCCTAACAGCTTCCCATCCCTTTGACAATCCTTCACTTGAGCACTTAGAATAATATTTGTGTGTGGGTGTGTTTAGTGAATGCTTTTTCTCTGTGTGAGGGTTCGAATCAGCTTGATGACAAGAGTTTACATGGAGTGAGCAGCAATATACTTGATGTATAGTTTCCCTCGGTCAAAAAAAAATCTGCAGAATTTTCTCTTCTACCCTCGGGTTCTTTTCATCTGCAGAAACGTGCTCTAGATAAAATAGTCTATCAGTCACAAGCGAATAATTTGGAAAATGCATATAGACTTACTGCTCATGGCAGAAAGTGGCAGAAAAACTGCTTCAAACTTCTACAAAATAATGAGAGTCAGGAAATATTCCTTAAATATATCTTTAAATAGAGAACAAATAAGGAGCTCTCTGGGATTATGATATCGGTCCCTTTTTTTTAGAGTGACTGGGTTGCTTGGGGTTCCTTTAAAGCTGCATAATTTATCTATAAAATATCTCCATTTCAATATAAATGTGTAAATATTAATATTAGAGGGGACCGTTGGAAATGCAATATCCGTTATTAGATTCCAGGTGTCATTAATTCAGTCAGGTGCTCATAACTTGGAGCCATTTGGATGGCGTTTTTCTGCAGTAGTTTTTGACATGGACAATAATGTGATTGAAATATGGTTCAAAATAGATTAAAACAGAAGAATATTCAAAATAAAAGAGTTGTTTTTGGCTTTAAATCGGTCCCTTCTATCTAACCGTCAGACAAATAAGGCTCTGTTACATATTTGATAATTAAGCTTGAATGAAATAAAAAATATATCCAACAAACACAGATGATGGATTCATCCTATGATGTAAAACTGCTTCTTTGGGTAATCACCTTACTGGTCTGCATATCTTATCTTCCTCTCAGCATCAGCTCTATTTGATATTTTTTTTCATTGCTTCAACTAAAGACTTGAGCAGATCGTCCCTTTGATGCTGGTTAAAAAGAGCCCAACTGTTCAATTCATCTTTTTAATTGAAACTCCCATGCATGTTTCAGTTTCAGAGACTTTTTAAATCCTTGACAAGTCAAACTTAGCAGTTAATTCTCAGAAAACAAGTTAGAAGGTCTTCAGGAAGCCTGAAGACCTGGAATCATAAATAAATTCTGGCTTCTTGGAAGCTAAATGTAAAGATTGATATCTGAGGACATTTTACACGGTATGTATATGATATTAAATTGGGTTTTGGATTACAGCTCCTCCAGTTGCCTAGTCTTCTAGTCTCGGCTCTGCTGTAAGTGTTTAACATCTCTCTGATTGAGAAGCTCTCTTTGTTCCAGGAAGGATGTTACAGCACCTCTGCATGACGAGAACCGTGCTGCTGATCCAGATTGATCACATTATAGAACTGAAGTCCCATCTGTTAGCGGATTTATGTGTAATTCTTAAGAATAGTATTCTATATAAAATAACACTATATTAACAATGTGGAATTTCTTTTTACTACAAGTTAGAAATAATAATTGATTGGAATCACAGTTAATCAAGTTAAGATCTAATTTAAATGACTGCATAAAACAAACAAAAGTGAGAGAAAACACCTAGGATGCAGCAGTAATTCTACTTTACTACAGATTAAGGAACTCTGTTTTGATTCATTTCAATTCAGTTTATTTATATAGCACCACTTCACATTATGTCATCTCAAGGCACTTTACAATTCAACCAGATCATCCAGTCAAATTGGTTCAAAGTTTTCTATCTAAGAAAAACCAGCTGATTGCATCAAATCATTGACTAAAAGGCAATCCCTCACACTAAGCATGCTTGTAGCGACAGTGGAGAGGAAAAACTCCCTTGTAACAGGAAGAAACCTCCAGCAGAACCAGGCTCAGTGTGAGCGGCCATCTGCCGAGTGACAGTCAGGGAAACAGGACTGCACTGAAAAACAGGCCAAGCTACAACCTCTTTAAACAAAGGTATTGATGGCAACAGCACAGCTGTTTCAATCCAGGATGGTGTCACAGCTAAATAGCAACAGACCAAATGAAGCTAGTATGGGAACAAGCAAATAGAGCATAATGTTAACAATTGAACTACGGTACCAAATACTTCGGAATGGGAGAACAGAGATAGAATGAAGCAGAATGATGAAAAGGGGTCCCTATGTCCTCCAGCGGTCTAAGCCTATAGCAGCAAAACCATAGAGATAGTTAAGGATAATTTGATAATTATAAGCTTTATCAAGAAGGAAAGTTTTAAGCCTGCCCTTAAAAGTAGACAGGGTATCTGCCTCATAGACTAAAACTGGTAGTTTGTTCCATAGTAGAGGATCCTGATAACTAAAAGATCTGGAAAAATTGCAACTCATTAAAGACCTGACATTTCAGTTTTAAGTGCTTGTGGAGCCCAAACAAATGGCATCTTAAATTCATTGAGTTACTGCTCTTTTGATTGCATCTTTTACAACACATAGTGACATGCTACTAAACAGATGTACCTAATATGGACTTCATGGAGGATATCTTTTCTGCTGAAATCTGTATAAAATCTTATGAGGTCTTTACTACATTTTTCTGGCTTATTGGCTTTTTTCCACAAATGTCAACTGTCGAACTGATACTATTTGGCCCAAATAAACCTAGTGAGCAATGTAGGAAACTGTTATCAAGACTATCAGGAGTATAATAAATTAGAATAGTAAGTGAAAGAAGAATCAGATGCTGGGAATAGAATGGGCAGTGATTTTAATTAGAACGAAGCGGCTCGGGAATGATGAATTAGGGAGAGCAATTTCCTGGAGTTGGTTTCATCAGATCTTCCTAGAATAAATACCATGGAGCAGGCTCGTCTTAGAATAGTGGCGTAATGAAGAATGCCTATTTTACTGGTGGAGAGAATTTAGCTCCGTGGTGGGGCTTTGCTTTGCGACTGAAGTGATCCAGATTAGACCGCGGTGAAATGAATGAATCTGCTCTCTGCTCCGAAGTGGGTAATTGTGAGCTTGCAGCTCGCCAACATGAGCGGAGGGGGGAGGGTAGACGGCAAAAGAGGAACTACAATAGTTTCAAGCTGCGTTCCAGGCTCCTAAAGCTACCAGCTCCCTTTGGCAACAGGTTGGGGGTCGCCATGGCAACAGGCGAGCTGTCAGTCGAGTATGTATTAATGAAAGCTGGTTGGAGGTGCAGCGGCTGGGAAGAGGAATCAGGCCTTCTCTGCTCTGTGTGTGTGTGTTTTAATTGTTTATATTACCGAGTTGTTTTTGCATCGGTGTGTGTGTGTTTTTATGATTAGTGTGTCTTGTGTCAAGAAATCCGAGAAATCTTCGACTGCATTGCAAATCAACCAATTACAGAGGAAGAGGCGAAAAGCCAGCGAGCCTCCTGGAGTGTCTGTAAGCTGAACCTCCAGCAATCAACACAGCAACACACACGTCTCCGGCTGCCTGGGTCAGCCTTCAGTCCTCACCTCTACGGGTAGACGGAGGTCTCTGTGGACTCAAAGTGTCACAGTGTGTCGGCCTGTGTTTGTTAAACACACTCTGCCGCTTTCTAAAATCCCCACGCTTTGTCGGAGCTTGGCTTCTTTTTTTATTTTAAATGACCAATTAATGCCTTTGTTTGGTGTTTGATGTATTTCATCCAAAACCCTCCAGTCAAAATGCTACAACCCATTGAACAAAAGAAACCACAGCTAGACGTCTGAGGAGGTGTAGCTGTTCAAACTTAATGAGAAAATAGTTTCTGTTTGAAAGAATCCTCCTCACTATGACTGAGAAAGGCTAAAGTCATGCAAATTAAAGCAACGTTATGAAAGGGAAATATGGACTCTGGCTGTCCAGATTATAACTGGATTACAGATTTCTATGATTTTTTTAATGATTATTTTGATTGGTCTATAAACAAAGTACAGAAAAACAGTTGTCTCCCGATTTTATTAACAATGCCTCGGTAACATTCGCCCATTTGTCTATTCATGTTTGTTGATCCATCCATCCGTCCGTCC